GGGCGGGGGGGCAAAAGTGGGTTGGGTATGGGGGATAGAGTAGGGGTGGGAGGGCGTTCCATGGCACCCTGCATGGGGTAGCTTGCAACCTCACGCGACACTAGAGCCATCTATATCCCCGGAGATTTATGAGTTCCTGGTGCAGCGGCTGCTCGCAGCAACTACACACCACGCAGTATCGGTCCGGTATGGTGTCGGTGCTGCCCCCTGTCGCGACGGGCGTGCTGTTGCCCCGCGGGGGTTACGCGCAATTCGCGCTCGTGCAACGTCGACCCGATAAAAAACTTGCGGCTCGATCTCAATCCGATGCTTCTGCGAATTTTCTCCTTCTACCCCTCCGTCTCGCGCCTCTTTTTCTCGATCGCTAATTCTCCTCCTCTCTTTCTATCCTTTCGACCTGAAATATCGATCATCGTATCCTGTTTCTTTCGCTTAGACTGCGGATTGAAATTTCACGGCGACGTGTTCGCGATCCATTTGCCTTCTTCGATTTTTCTTTTACGGTCGTTCGATAACCTGTTTCCGCGTTTAACGCGAATTCGTTCAACGGCGCTGGAAAACTGATACAGAGTTCATGTAACACAGTGCACCGAGCTGAGCTCTTGTAATTTAGAATGTGACTGCTATCAACAATTGTACCATAAAGACAAAACTACTTGCAACGTACGGAATACATTTGTCGCTTTTTCGCTATGCAATCAGAGCCAAACTACTTTTAGCAATTTTGCAGGACTCGCCTTGCAGCGAGTGAACAATATTAGTTTATATTTTCAAAATGTGTATTTTCACATAGAAAGATAATGTCTTCTATAATGTTGCTCTTCTACTAATCATATGTCGATTACTGCCAAGATATAATTTTCGACTCTGAACCCTAAACTCATAGGGTCAACTGCGTTTCCTTTCAACGCATCAAATGGAGATACATTGACCACAGGAAACCTTTTCTTCGAGAAATGTCCCCTCCTAAATTCGTATTTATCGCATTTCGTGAGACTTACGACTTCGCTATATCTCTGCGAAGATTATAGGTAGCAATCCATTTAATTCCCGAATGCAAGGTGTTAAAATACTAAAGCATCTTATTGAACGATAAAGTGATTTGACTTGTTCGATTCTCGAGCGAAAAGAAAGGGGGCAAGATAGCATCTCGTTCAAACAAAGATCCCCTCGAGTAAAAGAGGTGGAGGGAAAAAAAAGAGGAAGGTAGGTAATCGGCATCGATGTGAATCGTTGGAAGGAAAGGAAGGGAAAGGCCACTCGTAAGTCGAGATTTTTCAAGTGCCCCCTCGACGCAGCCGTCCATTCGCGCGATATCCTGCAGGGGTATCTGATGAAAATAGCGAGAGTGGGGTTTAACCCGTAGTGGTACCGAGGGTACGGGAACGACGACAACGATATGAGTACCGGTATCTACCTACCTATGCTTCTGCTCTCCAACCCAAACGCCCCACCCTCTTGATGCGGCCGGTTTACGAGCAACCTGTGGTAACGAGAGCGATAGATAATAACCGCTCCGTGCTCAACCCCATCCCCTTTCCTCTTCCTCTTCCATTCTCCATTCCCTTCTCTCTTTCCGTCTTCCTTCGTCCCTTAGAAAAACCTCGCTGGACCCTCTCGCACCTGCATATTACCTTCGCTTATTTTCCCCGATTCGCTCCCGCAATTTTTCTCACCAATTTCTCCTTGCTTCGAGGCTTGCTGATTTCCACATTTGGCAACTTGGACATTTGAAATATTTTTGCAATGAGTAGCTTACCAATTTATTTAATAGGTGTTTTGAAACTTGTTGAACAACTATACAAATTATAATTCAGTGATAAATATTATATGGAAATGAATAAATACATCTTAAAGAGGTAATACATCTCGCATCTTCATCATCTTGAAATATCTTGTCAAAGTCCATATTCTGCATACCACCTTCCTGTACTCGTTCAGTCTTATTTTTAAAGATATATCTATAGAACACAATTGTCACAGCTTCTGAGTTATGGCATAGTACATATTATACTTTAATCTTCATACCCATAGTACAATCGTAACTGTATCTCTGTCCATCTTAATTAAGAAGTAATCGAAAAACGTATCAGTATGAAACGATATTTTGTGGCCTTCGATGTCCAGAAAATAATTGTATCGCTCGCGAACAGGGAAATATTTCAGTAAGGTTCTTGTAGCAAGTGTAAGAACGTACCGATCAAGATGTCAGGGGAAACGAATCGAGCAAGAAATCCGGGAAATTTATTCAAAGAGACTGTCGAGTGGAACCGCCCTACTGGAGACGTTTGTTTGTCCGTGGCTGTATTTCATTTTTGCCGTAGTTTGCTTTTCGGCCTAGAGACACTTCGCCTTCGTCCCGGCTCTTTGCGAGCAACCGGCTTGCCAGGGCCGAGTTTAACGTACATACATTCGTACACGAGCGTTGCTCCTTCGCGCGCATTTATCAGGATTTCCGAAGGAAGCTGAAGTTTTTAAGCCGCAATAAATTTCCGTTCCGTGTGCCTTTACCGTCGCGAGTCTAACGTTGCTTAAAGCTTGCAAAAACCAA